ACAACTGATATTGAAAGAGTACAAAAGCCCAGTTTTCAAACAAGTTTGGTGTGTCTCTGGCGGGGCGCTGGCCCCCCAGACCACCCAGCGCTGTTTGCTTTATTATCGCTTGCTTAATAAATTTATCAACTTTTAATTGGAACTGAGTTGTCTAAATTCTTAAACTAACTTATAACAATTTACATTTTCAGCTTTTCACATAGTTTTGCTTTACTGTGGACTTGTACGTGTGTTTATCTTCAAAACCACAGAGCTTAAGATCACTTCCTATAGTGTCCAAGAAAGATCATATAAGAAAGACACTGAAATGGAGGGCACATTGTCATCTCAGTAAGTGACAGTTGTGGGCTCAGTTGATCTTTTTGTTGTTTGTTTGTTTGTTTATTTAGCATCTTCCCATGAACACAAACTGAACTTCAAGAAAAGCAAGGAAGCATGTCTAAGTTACATTCAGGATGCCATGCTACAAAAGCAGTGGAAAAGGGCTGCAGAGTTTCTGACCTTCTATGTTGAGTCACTAGAGAAGGACTATTCCAGAGAACCAGTCGGTCCATCAGAGGTAAGTCCATGTCCCTCATCTGGGTTCTTTTGCTGTTGAAAAAATGCTTGCAAGCAGAATCTCTAACACTTTAGGACCAACATTTGTCTTCACTAGCTAATCACAGGTTTGATTTTTTTTTAATTAAAAAAAAAAAAGAAAAAAAAAAGAATTGCAGGTAAGACCTGAAAAATTATGCAACTTTCATAAACTAGACCAGGAAATAAAGACGTTGAGTGGCAGACAGGCTGCGGGAAGTACACCCGACCTCCTCACTGTAAGTGCTCAAGGCAAATGCTGGCCAATTACTCACCAAAAGCCTGCCCCTGCACAGACATGCTTCTGCTGAGGGTTTAACCCATCTTACCAGAGCTTGATTCTGCTGAGATCTCGCTTTCAGGGGTGCTGAGAATCTGCAGTGTTTTTCCTGACAGGGCACTCAGCAGTCCTGAAAAGTTCTTTGGGCTTGCAGGCTGGTTTTATGGGGTTGTGTTGGGTTTAGTGTGGGGATTTCTTGTTTGTTTTGGTGATGTTGTTTTTTTTTTAAAGACAGGTTCTCAGCACAAGAGATGAAAACTTAGCTTGCTACAAATTAATTCCATCAGGAGTGTATCTATGAAAAGTCAGCTTAAAGTAGTCTTCTAAATTGGAAAAGCAGGTTTGCCTCGAGCACTGGCATCAGTCAGAATCTGTTTGAATGTTAGTGGCTTATTTAGGTTGTTACTGACCCTTCCAGTACTTGCAAAACTCCTTGCAGGTACTGAGTTGGAAGCAAGTGGAAGGAAAGGGATCAGAGCTTTTAAAGAAATGGAGTACTTGAATATTGCTAACTTGCAGACCTTGAAAACAAGTGCATGTAGATGGGAAGCTACATCTAATAGGAAATCATTTTTATTACTAAGTTCAAAGAGCTGTCTATATCTTGTGTCTCAGTGGGGTCATGTCAAAGGAGAACATAATTTTTCAGTGACAGGAGAGAGGAACCTTCTGACAATGCAGTTTTCATGAGCTTTGCTGGAGTGCTGCATTTATAATGAGCAATTATGAAGCACCCACTGAATGATTGTAAAAGTCTTACGAGATGAATATATAAGTTACTGTAGCAGTAGATAATACTTAGTATTATTTTTTAATTCACAATTCAACTGTACCTTTTTTTATGTGCTACAGTAACTAGGTTTGATAAGACAGTGTATAAGGTGACTGTTGCCATTTTTGTGCTAAGGTTGTTTTTGAATCTCTTGCTCCCCATCCGTAGATGATTTGGAGAATAGGAACTGAAATTTTGTACCATCATTCCAATAGCAACATGAAAGAGTTCAACTGTTTCATGGAACAGATGAAAACTTTAGGAGTAAAAAGGTATTTGAAGGTGAGTGTACTTAAAGCAGTCTTGATGATTTTCCACATTTACCCAAACACTTATTGAATATTAGTTTCTGAGCCTCTCTTTTGAAATATATTACCAACATTAGTCCAAAAGAAGAAAAAGATAATAAATTTGAGTTACCAATTGCATGATAGTTTAATATTATTTTATACCTCACCTTATCTCCTTTGGTCTCTATATTTGATCACAGATGCATATTGTCAGTTCTTAGAAGTGCCTAGACCCTTTAATTAGGCTTCCAATTTGAATTAGTTTTCATGCATGCCCCACTGACATTCTAATTACAGGTTAACACCTGCCAAGTTTTGTTTCCATCCTAAATTTGACCACTGTGCTCCTGGCTAAACACCTGTACTTAAATGTTGCCATCGTTACCATCTCACTTCTTGAGTAGCTGATCTGACTGTACAACAGCACACTGTGCACATCTGTGTCACTCAGCTGTAGGGTTTTTTCCTGGGGTGGTTCATTCAAACCTATACTGTCTTGGTTTCCTTGGGCTGTTTCTTACTTGGGGTGGTGCTTCTGTCTTTCATTGTGTTGTTAAAGGTCTTCAAGGGAAGTTCTGTACAAGAGTTTGCTAGAGTTAAGTGGAGCTTTAGTCTTTGATCCAGTGCCTAATCAACACGATAGGGTGGTAGGACATCCCTCTTTCAGGTACTGTGCAGTTGGGTAGACAAATGAAAAATTATCAGATGCAATCCAACTGGATTTCCTCACATCATTATTAGATCTGAGACAAGGTACAGCACCTGTTAAAAACAAGCAGGTTTGTGAGACAGCTGCTTTCTGCTGCCACTGAGTGTCTTCCACCTGATGGGTGGCTTTTTGCCCCACAGATTTCCAGTGCTTCAGCCCTTTTCCTGAAAAGGTATCCCTGGGAAGGGAAAAGACTGAAGCTTTTGAAACCCGTGGGGCAGAAAGTATCTTTGCATATCAGATATGCTTTTAATTATTAATGTTTCTCCAGCATCTTTAGACAGAAAAAAATACATAGGTTCTTGGCTTATCTCCCTCCCCACAGTGACACTTGTAATCTCCCATTCTTTCTTTTTTCTCCAAAATTCTTTGTAAAGATACTTTTTGGATAAAATAATACTTTAATTTCTGATTAAAATACTTTATTAACTGTGTTGGCAATATTTTTTTTGTGCATGTCAGGAAGTCTCTTTTGCTACACCTGTATTGCCGAAAATCTCTCAGTTGGAGGTGTGAAATGCTGTGGTTTGGACTGTTTGAATTGCAGGTCTGCTTGGAGCATGTCTTTCATCTCCTTTGTAATGGGCAAATAGATGAAGCTTACCAAAACCTGTCCCTGGCAGAAAGCTGGAGGTTTGGAGAACAAACAGCCATTCAGGATAAAGAAATGAAACTGATTCAGGCTTACAGGGGACTGCTGGACTACTATAACTGGTCTAAGCAGAAGAACATCCTTTTAGAGCATGGTAAGTGTTTTTTGGATTGAGATGTAGACTTCAGCTTGCTGGCTTGTGCAGACGCCAGGGTTTGCAATGACACCTTTTCCTTCAACATTTGATGGTGTGGCTGGTATGTAATTCTGTATCTGCAGTGATGGTGGTGCCAGAATGGCACACTGACCCACATCTTTCTGAAGTGCCCTCGAAGGCTGTTCCAAAACTTTTGTCTCCCCCTGAATCACATCTCTTATATCCAGACAGCATGAAATAAAACTTAAAGCAGTGTGTTAATGGGTGTGCAACTGCTTGATTGCTGCTCAAATTTTGAGTGATAGCAAAGCCCTCAAAACTTGTGTTTGAACTCCCATTTATTTAAAGATACTTAAGTTGCTACAAGTGTGTCACATCTAATTCTGTGTATACCTATGTATTATCAGTTAGATTGGATCTCTACTTGATTCTGTGAAAACTAAGTGTTGGATTCGGTTAATGGACTTTGTGCTGACAGCATCTTTGAGTCTTGGAGTGCTGCTCATTGTGCTCCATAAGTCGAAATTGCAGGGTAATAAATTTGATTGAAGAGCAGTGAAAATTTCTGAGGCATCTTAGAAGCTCTCTGACTGGAGTCCCTGTTTAACTAACTTTGTGGCATTCTTTGGTGTTTTGGTAGGTGTGGATGGATTTGCAGACTTGTCTGTTGAACAGGAAATGCACAGTTGCTTTCGGAAGGCAGCAGTGAACTTAAAGGAGATTATTAAAATACCCGGAGTCTGGGATCTCTTTGTGAAATGCTATGTGGACGTAAGGGCGTGTTTCACACGTGTATTTCTTTTGCCTAACTTTCATTAAGATGCCTGTCTGCAGCTTTTTTATGTGTGTGGGGGTGAAAACAAAGTATTTTAAATAAAAGGACCACATTTGTATGTATGTGTCACTGGCTTTGATATAGAACACAGTTTACTCCTGGTAGAACTGCAGAGCCTGCACAGAGTACAAAATGACTTTATCTGTGCATTGTCAAGAGAAAGAAATAGACAAACAGCTTGCATATTTTATTTTATGGTGCTACAGAAATTAGAGCATAGCTGCTTTTGTTTGAATTCTTGAAAACAAGGTCTCTGTTTTTTGGCAGGGCAGTGTTTTTTTTCTGGATGCATTAAATGTTAGAGGCGCCAAACATGCAGCCCCTCTATGTTTTGTTTTGGGTTTTTTAAAAATCTGCTTAGAATTTGTAACTAAGAAATGAAGTTAACCTTAAAATCTCTTTGGAATTATTTACTCTTTGTCAATGCTGATAAGCTCTGACTTCTCTAAGCACATCTTAGGGAATTTTCCTTGGTGCTGTCATCCGCCAAGTTCTCTCTTTTAAAGACATGGCAGGCTCTCTTTCCAGAGAGCAAGTGCTAGTAATTCCTTCACAATGAAGTGTTAAGGAATTTTCTTATGTAGTAGCTTCTGTGTATGAACTTCTGTGTCTCTGTCATGAGAGCAGTCAGTAAAATGAAAATACACTGTTCTTAATCTTACCTAATATACTGCACTCTTAGATACAAATTTTGCTGTTGGATAGTTCTGTGGCAGTCCAAAATTAGTTGCAGGAGTTTGATTGCATATATCTGGCAAATTAATGACAGGCTTAACTTTTCCTAGATGTTGGAATTCTATGGAGACCATAATGAAGCCTGCCAAGTACTGAATGAATATGCCTACAACTCAAAGTTTCCTGCCAATCCCAATGCTCATGTTTACCTCTACCAGTTCCTGAAGAGACAGGGCGAGTCAAAGAAGTCGCTCATCTCTGCACTGAAGGTGCGTGTTCCATGGGAGATACAGTCTGTGTCATTCGTGTTGGGTGGTGCTCTGACGCTTTGGTTCCCTTGAACTCTGAAACATTATTTACCCTGTTGTATCCTTTTTGGGAAGCAGAGGGTTAGAGGGAAGTTCGAGGAAGGAGCAGTATCCTTTACTGCCTTGGAATTCCAGTTCTTGCTTTGCCTTTAACTGATACATCATATCACTTCTTGAAGTCAATGAGCAAGCTCAGAGAAAATATTGGCTTGGGCCTACAAGTCTGTATCAGCAGTCTTGTACATAACAAGCATTGATTTCTGTTAAAGTTTGACCTTCACAATATTGTAGAAATTATTAAATGCTTGCTCTTTCACATATTGATCCTGTCTAGCAATTAGTTTCTCTGCTTGTTTTTGATGAGCTGTGCATTAAGGCTAAAATAAAAGTCAATATCTGCTGGTTGTTGGCAGGCAAGGCCTTGCTTGACTAAGCTTTTGTACAGTTGCTCCTAAATTTGTACTTTCCTTGCCCACACTCCTTGATCTTCGTGCTGCTTGCAAACGTTTTGCAGTTTGTGTTGCCTCTTGATGGCACTAATGCGCTTTCGTTAGTGCAGGTGGTGTTTAAAAACAGCTTTATAAAGTTTAGGCTTTTAAACTTTAGGGTATATGTATACAATTCCGTCTTCTCAGGGCTTTTTTTAGCAGTGGCTTTAGACACCAATCTCTTACAAAATAGTGATGAATCAAAGAACCGGTTTAATACGTCCAGACACTGATCCAATGTACAGAGCAGTGGACAGGGCAGCTGGGACTGGCCTGGGAAGAAAATGACATTGCCTTCTGGATTTGGGCTTCAATCCATGTTGTATTTGCCACATGCAGTGTTTTTTTTAGCAGCTCTCAAGGTATTTCATTGATTGTGTCTCAGAGTAGTGTCACAGATGTGCAGAATGGACCTAGACACTCGTTCTTTACACCAAGGCAGTAAAGGTACTAAATTGCTTAATTTTCTGAATTAGTCACCCAGAATTCTCAAGCTTGTGCTTCTCTTGTTCAGGTAGAAGTGTTCAAAAGTTTTCACATTAAAACAATGTGTCTGGGTTTTGCCTTTTATTTTTCAGATCTTGCATGATATTGTTCCGTCTCATGAACTTATGATAGACTTTAATACCATGCTTCAAAAATCAAGTAAGTCTACCTTTTCTCTTTTCATCTATGTTAATTTCAGAATATTATTCTAGATTATCTTGCACCCTCTTTCAGCTTTTTAAAGTAGTTTTGTTTGTTAAGAAAAAAATACCAAAAAAACAACCCAAATCCCATCTTTCCAATCACAGAAACCTTTAAGCTAAATGTGTGAGCAGGTATTTACAAACTTGTGTAAACAAATGCCTTTCTCATTTTAAAGGCTGATCAAGGCAAACTGTTGTAAGGCACAGCCAGGATCTCAAAAATAATTTTATTTTTTTTTAGGTACTCTCTCTGCTCTGAATTCCAGAGTCTCCGTTCACTTTTGGGGGTCTCTGATTTATTTATTTATTTATTCTTTTTCTTCTAGAGGAATTGAGATAGATCTGTTATTTAGTTCATTGATATGGATTAATCAAGAGAACTTTATCTTAGAGCTGGTAGAAAAGTCTTCCAATATGGAGACTTTTTTCCATGCTGATCAATTGTATTCCAAGCTGTCTTATTGTGACCTGATATGTCCCAGCAGGTCAACAGATTTGTGAAATGACCCTGAATGAAGATTGTTCTCCCTTCTAATATGAGAAGGGTTAATGGCTTTAAACTGAGAGACGATATGTTTTGAAAAGTTTTAAAGAAGAAATTCTTGACTGTGAGGGTGGTGAGGCACTGGATCAGGCTACCCAGAGCAGCTGTGGATGCCAAATCCCTGGAAGTGTTCGAGGCCGGGTTGGATGGGGCTTTGAGCAACCTGATCTAGTGGAAGGTGTCCTGGCAGGGGGTTTGGAACTAGGTGATCTTTAAGGTCTCTTCCAACCCCAGCCATTCTGTGATTCTTCATTGGAAGGGGGTAAAAAAGACCATTTGGCTGGAACCTCCCTTTTCCTGTTCATTTGTGACACATTTGCCAACTTTTCATAGCTAATGAATACAACCTGATCTTTTGAAAACATTTATGCAGACAAACATAACTTTTTCCTTATATACCTGCTGTCATAGGTCAAATATTGTTTTAATAACTCTGGTGACACATAACAAATTATGTGAAATGTCCACTTGAGTCATTTTGGTCCCAGGTTTGACTTTTTTGGTGGCATCTTGGGATTTGAAGTATTCCGGAGGCACCGTATGCCCTTCCTATGGGAAGAAGGTATTGAACAGAGGTGCCAGTTGGAGGCTCTGATTAGTGAGCTTTGGAAACAGCAACTTGCTTTGGAAAAAGCCAGGCAGTGTGTGATGAGTGTTGTGCGTGTTTCTCTAGAGTCAGCAGTGTTTGAGCAGGATGGGACAGAGTGTCTCTGGTGTGAGTTGTTTTCTAGAGACAGGAAGTATTCCTTAACTTCATCTCTTGGAAGCAGCAGAAAGCAATGGGGGGGCACCCTCAGTAATGGGAACAGTAGCAGCATTTGGGGAGACAGGATGGAGAACTGTATTTCACTTGTTGCTTACTAATGAGTTCATCTTGATCTAAGTAATTCATTAATCAGCCTCACCTTTTTTCAGAGAAAAGAAAAAAACGTCGACTGGGGCTAGAAGTTATTTTTGCGGCCTTGGATTATGCTGGCTGGAAAGAAAATGTAAAAGCATGGAGCTGCTTGGCAAGACAGGTGAAACAAATTGTAATGTAAGTATCTCTGATGCAATGTGCTAAAAACAAATGTATCAAGTCTCTGCCTTTGGCAGTTGACACAGTGTCCCTCTGTAGCCTTTCTCTTCCTGCTGGTGAAGGGGAGAGTTGCCTGGCCTGAGTTCTGTGGCACAGCTTGACTTCAGTGTGCTTTTGTTGGGAGGGAAGAAGAAAGTATTGAGGAGAATTCGAAATTTCCAGCACTGCATTCCCTGAGAAAAGCTGTGGTGTTTTGGTTTGTTTTGTTTTACTAGGTTACATCTTAATGCAGGAAGGATTATTCAGAGGTTGGGGTAGCGTTTGCTGCCCATCACTAATCTCCCTCTTTCGGGGCAGGAAAATTGTTGTTTGTTCTGTTCTGTTCTTACATGTGCATTGTTTGAAGCTGGTTTGAGAACTGCTGGGCTGTACCAGGGGCATGGCTGGTAACTGCGGATTGGTGGGTTGTGTGATGGTGGTAATTTACAGGGTGCAGCTGGTGGGTGTATTGTTAAAATCTGAGCCAACATGCCTGGGGATTGATGTCTTTGACAACTCTGACAGACATGGCCTCCGATTTCAGAAGAAACCATCTCTGACAATCTGCACCCAGAAGGCCTCCAAGGTCTAGACTTTATTTTACCCAACAAACAGGTTGTTGTGTGTTTCAAGCCCTATATATGTACATTAAATTAATTTGGCACTGAATTTGACCCATTCTACTGTTTTGTTGCCACCTCTACCTACACAGCGTCTGCTGTCAAGATCAGAAGCTAGTGGATTAGAGCTAGGAGTGTTGTTGTACAGAATTAATAAAGTAATATGATACTCTAACTTTGCCTTCATTTTTGGTTTTTTGCATACACAGCTTCAGAGTATCTTGAAATATTGTGGGCATCTTGCTCATTTTATGAGAATGTTGCTTCCCTGTTGCAGATAGTTTTATAGAATCCTGGAATAGTTTGGGAAGGGACCATAAAGACTGCCTAGTTCCAACTCCCCTGCCATGGGCAGGGACACCTTTCAGGAGACCAGGTTGCTCAAGCCCCATCCAACCTGGCCTTGAACACTTCCAGGGATGAGGCATCCACAACTCTGTGCAACATGTTCCAGTGCCTCACCACCCTCAGAGTGAAAAATTTCTCCTAATATCTGTTCTAAACCTGTCCTCTCTCAGTTTGAAGCTATTCCTCCTTGTCCTGTCACTACACGCCCTTGCAAAAACCTCTCCAGCTTCCTTGTGGGCTCCCTTGATGGACTGGAAGGAGTTTTTGCTTCTGAAATGCTCAGTTTAGAGTTGGACTCTGATCATCGTGGGTCCCTTCCAACTCAGCATATTCTGTGATTCTTTTTAAAGGGTGTTATTGCATAACAGTAATAACTGTTTGGGATAAGTTAGACTTTGAGTATGCAAACTTACCCTAAAAACAAACCCACCCCTTCATACTACTAATTTGTTGACAAACTTGAAGAAATTTCCAAACTACTATTGACAAACTGGCATGGAAGTCAAAGGCTTGCTTCATTTTACACCATAATTTGTATTATTGCCAAATCTAAATAAGACTGCTGAAGTTCACCTCCTGCCTCAGGAGGGTTGCCAGGGATTTAAAAAAAAATAGCTTATTTCTGTTTAGATTAGTGTTTCAGTCTCAGTATAAAGTTGGTGTGTCTGTGTTAGGAATTTAGGAGACTTGTAGCAAGCTGGTTATAAGTGTCATTGTCTCCTCATAACCTTTTCATCACAATTTAAGCTTTTCTGTAACTTGTTTAACCTTTTTGCAGCGCTGAGAAGCATCTTGACTGGATCAAGCAAGAGTGGAGCTCCAGGAAGGACTGGTGGCCAGCCTTCCATTTTAGCCGGTACTTGGCAAAAAGGAACTGGCAGGAAAATAAAAGCCTTTCATATGAAAAAGCTCTGGTGGCTGGAATTTTACTGGGAAAGGGTAATACTACGTGTTTTTTCCTTTTCACTACACAGGACAGAAATACTGTCTAGTTCTAGCCCTAATAAGATGGGGTGCAGCTGTTCTGCTCCTTGAAAGAAATGCAATTTCTTCCTTCTAGGAAATATCCTTGTCTTTGCGGCTAAACATGACAGATGTTTAAATTGGTTTGCTATTTAACAATGAGGCATATTTTGCATAACTTGTCTTATCCTGGTTTAGAATTCTGTTTTATCTGGCCCCGTTGAGCAGGCACAATACTGTTTATCTTGTTGTACCCTCAAACCACAATTTCACAAATGCACAACACACTCCTGAGGGAATGTTGTGAGACATTAAAAGGACATCAAGGACCATGGGGGTGTTGTAGTGCAGGAAAGAGGAGGATGGAGGGTCTTGAGTGAAAACCATTAGCAGTTTGGTAAGAAGAGGAAGATCTTTACCTCTTCAGTAGCATTGTTTGGAATGCTGCCAAAACCGAGTGGAGGATCAGGCCAAGAATCAGTTGCTAAATTGAGAATGGGAATATGGCATGGAGACCATTGCTCGTACACTGGTTTGGACTTCTGATTGTCAACTTGTTTGTTGTCAGCTTTTCTATAACTTCATCCTCTGGACTTAATAAAACAACTTCTCAGATTGAAAGTTGGAGTTTTTTGGTTTTTTGTTTTTTGGTTTTTTTTTTTTTGGCTTTCAGTAGTATGTTATCAAATGTCTTGCAGCTTTTATTTCCAGCTGGCTAAAAAAGTTGTTGCAGTTCTGATTTTGTTGAATGAAGTTTTAGTGCTTAATGGTTTCAGTGTGAGCCTAATATATGATGTATATATATATATACATATATATATAAAGTAAGTAATAAGTATATATATACATATATAGCATTGTGTCTTGATAAAATGTGTGATATCAGTGCTGCTTTACACCCTTGAAAATTTGCTTTGTGATCTATTTGCAGATCAAAAATTTAAGAGAGAAAAAAATGTTTTGCAAGACAGCATAATTTGTATACATGTAATGTTTTCTGGGTTAAGTGAGGATAGATTATTTACTGCTACAGTTATGTCTCTAATGTGTATGTCTTGGATTTTAATACCTTCAAGTAATGAAAAGTTTCTTAGATGTTTGCATGTTATTTAAATAATGAGAGCATTTTGTATTTGCTTGTATCATGGTATAACTTACAGTTTGTTTTTTCCCTCAGATTGCAAGTACTTTAAACATGTATCACACCAAGGCTGCAAAGCTCAGGTGAAAAGGTTCCAGATGCTGAAGAAATTCATGAACAGGCACAATCCTGTCTACCTGAGAATATCTGGTCGTTCTGTTTCCTCTCTACAACCTTGATTAGAAGGCATCCTTAAGGTTCTTGTACTTTTTCCTCTCTGTAAAACTGACTTCTGGGTTGGTGCTACTGTGAAACTTCTGGGCAGACCCTATCGACTCAGTACTAGACTTTTTTACATACTTCTGTAAAAACTATTCGGTTTGTATTTGTTTTATAATAAAATGAATATAAATCAAGGGATGAGGTTGAAGAATGTGTTTAATGTTAGTCCCATATTTCTGTGTGAAATGCAAACAGCATTGATTTCAAACACAGCTTGAAAATTACTTAGTCACTGTGGTTTGGAGTCTCTATTTCACTAGTACTGCAGGGTTGAGCCTCCTCATGTCTAGATGCAGAGATGTTGGAAAGTAGTTCAAACTCCATCCCGGACTAGCAGTGGCATACATAACAGGTTACATGTCTTAACCCAAGAACAGTACTTGACACATTGTCAAAATGTGTTTTCAACCTGTAACAACATTTCTGCTTATAACTGATCATTTCCTGAAATAGGGAAAATGGAGAGGCATCAGTCACTTTTTATAGCATTGTGTATTGAGAAGAATTATTGATTGTGAAGATCTACTGCAGCTTGTTCAAACAGATGAGGCAGTTCAGCATGTCTAAAGGCAGTTTTTCCACATATCATATTTGGGGGTTGTGTGTCCAGCTCAGGGATTGTTTTCACGTTGCTGGTAGGAGGGAGTGAAAGGTTGCTGTAGCTGCGTGACCACAGTGTTACACTGCTTTGAAAGAGCAGAGGCAGAAATACTGAAAACTTTACTTGGTGGAAGAGACCTTCTAGAATTTTTTTTTGCAGTCTTGCCTATGAGTAGAAATATGCAGTGTTGCTGTACTTGGAAAGCACGCCTTAATGTGTTGTCACAAACTAGCATTCCAGCTTGCTTGAAAACATCAACAAAATGCTTTCCAAGTACTACTTCTGTTTTAATGAGAGATCTGTAGAATTCTGGAGGAAGAACTCCTTGAACCCACCTCTGGGAATGAAACAAAGATGTCTTGAGTAGCAGAATAGTTTATGAGTAAGTACATCTGTGCTTTTAAAAACTCAGTGTTTATCTGGAATTTTGGCCTGGATTAATATGGGTTGTGTGAGAAGTGCCTTAAGACAATGTGTCTAGCGTTGAGAGCTACTTGCTGTAACTGTATGTTTTATTAAAAAAAGGCAATTACTCATCATTCCCAACCTGTGTGCTCATTTAGTTCTGACTCCCAAGCACTGCTGTTGCCTCGCTTTGTAATAGTCAGGGTTTTTGTTGGAGATCCTCAGCTGAGTTTTGACTATTTTAGATTGTGAAGTTTCAGAATGTTCTTCCCCAACATCTCATAAGGTGTCCCACACCCCTGGGAGCAAATCCCGCCTTTGCTGAGAGAGGCGGTCCAGACAGTTGCTCCTAGTGACTCATCCTGATTGGTTTCATGCCTGGGCAGCGTGGCTGTCCTGGGAGAGCCTCTGGAGGCAACCGGGCAGAGTGTCCCTTCCCTGGAGTCCTTAATTTGGCTTCCTGCCTACCACTGTGCTCCTCTGCTCCCCTGGACTTGGAAAGACAGGCCTTTGATAGGCTGATGATTCTCCTGTGATGGTCCTGAGATGGTGAATCCTAGGGAATTGGAATGATCTGCTTTGGCTCTGAATTCTGTGCTCTAGGTTTGATTTTCCTATCAATTGCCCTCCTCATCCAGTGTGCAAAGTTTCTGTGAGGATTTTTTTTTCCTTTCCACGAAAGAAATATCCCATCTTTTCTTTGCTGTTCTTCTTTGTGCTGAGTCAAGGAACTTCAGGGAATCCACATTTTCTGCACAGACCCAGTGTCTGTTGTCCCTCTGTTATTCCACCTCTTGCTCTGGTATTTTTTATATTAAAACCTAACATAATGATAACACAAAATTATACGTCAGCTCTACCTCTTCTGCCTTCCCTGTTGTTCCATCCATTGTTTTGATGCTCCTGCTTGCATTTTCCTGTTTTAAGAATGTCTTCACTAAAGTTTAAGACAAGCAAGGTAATGAAATGTCAGCTGCTTTTTAAAGCATGTTGATTTGTGTATTTTCTGACTGCCTTTCTTCTCCCAAGCAGGTTCTCTGTGTTCTGAGCAGCTGTCTCATTCTGGACACCAAAGTAATGCCTTAATTTCAGTGATTGTCTGCAATGTTTGAGAGCAATAACTGAGATAAGCTGATACTTCAGCAGATATAAATAGTTGGATTAAAAAAGCTTTATCTTCTCACAGTGCTGAAATCTTCTGATTGGCGCATTTCCAGTTCATTGAAGTCTAAGCAGAGACGGGATTATTGTGAGGCTGCTGGACAGTCAAGGTGCCACAGCAGAATAGGTGAAGGTTAAACCCCTAGAAATTTAAAATAACCATTTCCCAGTAAAGACTCAGAGTGGGTCCATAGTCCAGAGTGTTCTCAGGTGTCTCATTACACTGGTGGTTGTATTGAGAAGCCTGGACTGGGAGCATTGACTTCTCGAGCTAATGAATGGTGATGTGTGGGGAGACAGGGAAGTTTTGAATGATCAAACCCTCAAAAATTCAGTAGCTGAAGCACAGCGTTACCACAGAATATCACAGCTGACTTCAGGTTGTGCTGATACTTTAAATAATTTTTTTCTCCTTCAGTTTCTGAATTTCTTCTCATTTTAACCCTGAATATATACCTGGATTTGTGGGTAACATCAATATTCCTTTAAAACTTTCAGTCCTGAAATTACTTGTTCCTATGGTTAACTGCTGCTGACTTAACTTGGTTGTATTTTATGACCCCTGTTCAGTCTTTATGAAACCAGACCCAAGTTTGGTGCATTTTAAAAGCTGAACAAAATAGTAGTTAGCAATTGAAAATTGTTCACTTGTGTCTTGTAAAGGGGGAGAGATTATCAAGTCCTGTGTATACAAGTTGTATCTTGTATTTTTATTATCCATATTTCTGGGTGAAGGATTTCGTAGCCAATTTAAAATAAAATGCAGGGATTACATTTGTGAGTGCCCAGAAATGCCCAGAGGGGAGGGTTCAGTTATGTGAAGTGGGAAATACCAAAGAGGCAGCCCTGAGGGTTTCTCTCCTGCCAAGTAGTAAACTTCAGAGTGAAAAAGGGAGAGAGAATGTAAGCAAACTTCAGTGCCTGCTCCGTGGCTGGCAATTAATAAACTGGAGAATTTGAATGAACTATACTGTGAAGAAGTCCAGGATTTCTATACATCTGACCTCAAGACACCTGCACTGAAGGAAGTGAGTATTTGGCCACAGGCTGGAAGGGGCAGCAGCAGCTCTGGAGTTTCCTTTTCTTGCCCAGATGTCTGTCTTTGCCTCTTCTTGTTGTGCCTGATAGGCAGCGTGCTGGGACATCCTCAGTGTCCAGATTATGGGCCACCTTTCCACCTTTCCAGCCCCCTTTTCACTTGGAGTTCTGCTCTGCCTATGAAAATTTTGGCTGCTGTGACCAGGAGAGAGACAACAGCATTGCAGCGAAATACTGGGACATCATGGATAACACTGATCCCCGGGGGCATAAGCTGTGTGGAACATATATCAAAGATATCCTGTGTCAGGTAGGGCAGAAAAATAATACGTGTTTTCTGTGCTTTGGGCTGGTTTGGGGGTCAGTTGTGATAGAGCTCCTTAATGGCTGGTCGTGTTGCTGTGAAGGGAGGTGTGGGAGCAGGGACAAGGTGGGCTGACAGGGTAATGGCACCTAATCCTCAGCGTGCATTTTGCAAAGTGCTTTGTGTAAGGTGCATCACTGTGGAATCTGGCAATATATAGTGACATTTGCTAGCAATAACAGTTTATGAAAGCATTGCCCAGTGCAGATGATGATGGGAATCCTGCTGCTCAGTTGATTTTTTTCATAATGAAGGGGAGAATTACAGATCAATATTTATCTTCTGCTTGCAGCTACCAGGTGCTGGATTACAAATTCTACACAATGAAATGATACGGGAATTGTGGGCAAGGTGTTCGGATCTATGCACTGCACGAAGGATGTGTTTTGATTGTGTTCCTGCTGAGCAAGCTCCAAATGGCGTGGTTGTTAAAGTAGAACAAAATTTAGTAGGCAGTGGTTTCAAACAGCTGCTGCGAGGTCCTGAGGCTGCAGTCACAGCATTTTCATCAGTGCTGTCTCCATACTGCCCACCTGGCTCATGGAAACAGGCACTGTTCTGGCTGAGCAACTCTGCATCCCCGTAATTAGAGGGCAGAACCCACCTGCCTTTTTAACAACTGGTAGTCACACAAAGCTGGACTCGCTGCATGCCAAAATTCAATGCAGCCAAAAGACACACCTAATCTTCCTAAGAGGGTGTAAAACTCTTGTAGCTAACATTTCCTTAGCTCTAAAATATTATCTGAGTACCAAAACATTTCCATCCTTTTTGGGTGCTGGCAAGATTGTGGCATCTCCTTGGGGTAAGGGACACACCCTTTCAGCACCAGGGCTGAAAAAAGTAGCATCAGTTTGTCATTTTAAAGTTGATAAATCAGAAAAAGATGTGTTACAGGTCCCAGCAGAACCACCGGTGTTGATGTTACGAAGATTTTTTCACATGTTTCAGGTAGAAAAAGAACACTATAAAATTTTACTATTGCTGCTTTGATTGCTCATTCTGCAGGGCATAACGTAATTTTGTTCTAAATGTATTTTTTTACCAAACAAATAGAAACAAAACCAAAAAAAAACCCCAAACCCCACACCCTTATTTACTTAAAGATTTTCAAAGTTATAAGCTATTATTCTCTTTTTTATCTTTTAGAGTAAGATTGCTGTTAAATCTTCGAGGAGGAGCTTGAGATTGTGTTATGTGTTGCTCTTCCTGGTCAAGTTGGTGACAACCATGGAAATGATGTTGGGTTCTCTAGCAAATATTATTTGGCTATTGAATTAGTGAAACAGATCTACCAAATGGTTTTGCTTTAGGAAGTCACTTTGCTGGAAATTGTTGCTGATCTCATGTGGGAGGGATGTGAAATGATAACATCTCCATTCTACCACCTCTGCAGTATCGTGACCGTTTGTAATTGCTACCTGTGAAATGTTCAGGTGTGCTTACTGCCACATTAAATATGAAAATACAGATGCATTTATGTGATCAGCATGTCATTGTGACAAGTGCTTATTTCTGCAGTGTATGGCAGGACTTCAGATAAACTGCTGCAGTTGGTAAGAAGTACTTTTATTGATATTTTCCATATGGAACTTAGGACACAAAGATTAGTCTCCGAAGCAGTGGTAGACAAACTAATATTGTTAGCTTTTGCCTTTTGAACAAAACATTGCAGGAAAGTGGTGTAGGTGTTTACTGATAAACCTGAATAATAGTTGCTCTAATTAAGCAAAGGCAGCATTATGTCACATTTTTGGGGAAGATCAGAGCGGTAGCTGTGTGTTGTAACAAAGCACCTCATTCAGTTAGATGTGCCTTCAGTGCCAAACCCAGCAGACAGTAAAAACTAGACAACCTTCCTGGTGTGGCAGTGAGGGGAGTGCTGAGCATTGCACAGAGGAAGCTGGTTTTGGCAACAGCAGCAGTCCCGTTGGTCCCACAGAGCCCAGGAAGGATGCCGTGGACCACACTTTACCTTGGCTGTGGGGCTGTGTGTTTCTTAACAGATAGATGATTAGACAGGGATGTGTTCTGGATCATAGATTTCCTGCTGTCACTCTAAACCAGATTAATTTCTCTTAAAAACTAACAGGCTAGGAGAGGCATCTAAAGCAATCTGGCTCTACTGCTAGAGCTATTTCAGTTTGTGTCTGGCAGGATCTGAGCCTATTTTAGTTAGCTACACTTGTTTTAAGAACTTAGAGGTTTTGAGTCTGACCACTAGCTTAGGTGTTCTAGGATTTAGCTTAAAAACTGAATATGAAACTCTGAAAGCTGCCTGTGATGTTCTTAAGGAGGTGCTGTATAAGTTGCATGACTAGAAAATTTCCCTGGATGCAAACCTTGCTATGTGTGCTAGAACAGCTGTTTGGCTGATGGCTGGGGGGGATGCTTCTCTGTTCAGAAAACTGCTACAGGAGAGGCTTAAAAAAACTAAAAAAGCCAATTAAGCCTTGTTCAAGATGATTGAAAGCTGTGATATTATCATGTAATGGGAGCTGATGCAGGGAAAGCAACATACTTTCTAAAGCAGTTTTAATCAGAGGCCAGACTTGATTTCTGAATGCATACTCTTCAGAGAAGCCATTACAAAACAGCAGAGAAGCATCAATGTGATCTTAGAAGTTTTTTTGTTTATAAAGTAGTGAGATTAGCTTTCCTGCATGCTTGAGTGAAATGAAAGCAGACAACCAACAGTGACTGCAAGGCCACCTGATCCTGGGAGTTTACACAGACCCTGAGGAACAGCCCCCATCTCATGTGTCTTGCTGAGTCTGTGTGCTGCAGACATTGTTTTGCCAGGCAAACCCTGTGGGGGAAGCCCAATGGCTGAGAAAGCATGGCAGCTGCTCAGGGGCTACACTTATTTGGGAGGAAGAACTGTAGGAGACCTTTATGCTGGCAGCCTGTTGGCAGAAGAGAGCTGAGGAAGCTCAGAGGTGGTAAGAATATGCCTTGTTTCAGAGGCACCTGTTTTTCTAATGTTCTCAGGTTGCTGGTCTGGGAGCTGGACTCTCTTCCCACTTCTTTGAGAGAAATTAAAAATGTTTTCAAAGGTGTTAACAAAGTAATTACTTCAGAACAGAACTGAGAGGAGCTTCAGTTTTCCAATGATTTCTGCACAACGGAACAGTGAGCCAGCTGCAGCCACATGCTACTGGGAATGAGGGAGATTCACAGGACTAGAAATGCAGGTTAGGCTCTGTCTATTCTCCCACACCTTTCCTTGGGGACACCTCATCAGGCTCTCCTTGCCTCCTAGTCCCTTGAAATCAGCACCATATTTTATGAAAAAAAATTTTATGAAAATATGGTGCTGATATAAATATGACATAACTAAAACCTCAGCCTATTTGGGGGTGCATACACAAGTGTGTAGTGGTGAAAGCAGAGAGGGTGAGCAATGGCTAATGGCGTCCATAAGCATCAGGGCAGGAACGTGCCAGCCAGGTGTTGTTAAATGCCTGCACCAAAGCTGCTCTCCTTCAAGAAGGTGAGAACAGAAAGACAAGGATTTGGGAAGAAGGAGAGGTTACTTACAGATGTGATGCAGGAGCAACAGAAACAAGCTCATTCTATGCAGCTTAGTAGCCAAATGGCAGCAATGAAAAGTGAGAAACTTACTATACCATCCAAGAACTGAAGTCTGCTACTTACAAATCATATTTGTTCTTATTATGGCCAAAAGCCCCCAGGTACATCTGTGAGCAAAGGAAACAGCTTGCTGTGTGAAGTTTGGAATCAGGGACTGTAGTCTTCACATTAAATACCCTGGAAAGGCTGCTTCTTGCACAAAAAAAGGGAAAAAAAAGCCAAAAAAACAGTGCTTGTATAGCTGCCCAGATTTTTTAAATGAATTTTGTTTAATGAAGTGAACTTGTTTAATGAGGCAGAAAAATTGCTAATGTAGCAGTTTTTCATTCGTCGACTTCCCATGTACTCACCTTCCTACGTATGTGCCCAATAAAAGACCTGGATAGATTGTTTTGAACTACTGGCATTGAAACCAATAAAATAATATTTCTGCAGAGTTTAGTCTCTTCTGTTTCAACTGCTGCAACTTTATGCTGATTAAAATAGAGGTGGGATTTCAATAGAAATGTTTTATGGAAGTTCTGGCTGGAATTTCTACAGGATGATTAAAATTTAGGTACAAATTCAAACGCAATGCCTGATTTTCAGAATTTAACCTATATTTTGCACAGATAAAACTTAATAATCTTTGAAGGAACATAATTTAAATGCATAAGACTTGAGAATGTTGCTTGCAGTCTTTTTTTTTCCTGATGATCACATACAGAGTCAATGATATCTACATGAATTTCATAAGATGATATTTACGTACCTAACTCAGTTTTAAATCTCACTTACATCTGCTTCAGTAACACTGTGCATGCAGGAACATGACTGGAGTTGTACAGCATCAGACCAAAGATTAATTTAGCCTGTATATTTAATTGATGTATGTCTTTAACAGACGTACGTTGACATACATCTGTCAGAGTTTCCCCTTCTTTTTTTAACCTGACTCCTATTACCTTTAGTTGATGCTCCCTCATTTTTCTTCTGGGAGGAAGTGTAAATATCACAAGTGATTTATCCATGTCACTTGTGATGTTTCCAGACCTCTGTTAAGCTGTTACCCTCCTCTGATTACCTCTCTGCAAGACTGTTCAGTCCTATCTTAGTGAGTGGAGAATCCACATCCTCCACAGTAGTACTTCTGTTGGGAAGAATTTAGGTGCAGCTGATTGTGCTTTGATGAAGGATACTACCACTGATCTCTGAATCCATTTTGACCATATCCTGAGTGACTTTCTACTACTCTTTATGTTCTCTGCAGTACTAATTTTTTATTTTATTAACCAGTTTGCTTTCATGAAGATATCTTGGCTACTCCCAGAAGTGTGTACACAGTCACGTACTTTGTTTCTTTTGCTTTCTAGGAATGTTCTCCATATGCTGCACATCTCTTTGATGCAGAAAACCCTCGGACACCTCTAAGAAGCCTCCCAGGGCTCTGCTTTGACTATTGCTCTGAGTTTCATTTCAACTGCCGCTCTGCCATCCGCCTGCTGACGCGTGACAAGCATGTCCAGGAATACTGCGAGACAAACAGAACGCGCTTCTGCGACCTCCTCCGCCTGCAGGACGAGGACTACTGCTTCCCCAGCATGCTGAGAAACACGGCCCTCAGCCACAACCTGGGCTCCGTGGTGGAGGACCAGTGTGGCTGTATCCAACTCTGCCTGAGCGAGGTCGCCAAGAGCCTGCGGAACCCAGTGCTCATGGCGCATCCCAGCGACCGCTCCCACTGCCTGTTCGTGGCCGAGCAGGTGGGCATTGTCTGGGTCTACCTGCCTGATGGCAGCCAGCTGGAGGAACCCTTTCTGGATATTAAAAGTGTAGTCCTGGCCACACCGTGGCTAGGGGATGAGAGGGGCTTTCTGGGGATGGCTTTCCACCCCAGGTACAGGTACAATGGGAAGTTTTACATCTATTACTCATGCATGGATAAGAACTGAGTGGAAAAGATCAGGATCAGTGAATTGAAGGTTTCGGCGTCTGATGCCAACAAAGCCGATCCACTCTCTGAAAGGTAAAGTTCGAGTTGAATGCTACTGTAGGCCACAGTGAGAAATCATTTTTCTCTGTCTGTGTCAGAGAGACAGATAGCCCCAGGTGTCGATACGGAATAGGGATGAATGAATTGAGAACAGCTCTGGTAAGAAGGACTTGGGGATGCTGGTGGATGAGAGGCTGGTCATGACCCAGCAATGTGCACTTGCAGCCTAGAAAGCCAACTGTGTCCTGGGCTGCATCCAGAGCAGTGTGGCCAGTATGAGGGAGGTGGTTCTGCCCTTCTATTCCACTCTTATGAGATCCCACCTGGAGTGCTGTGTCCAGTTCAGGGTTCCCCAGCATGGGAAGGACATGGACCTGCTGGAGTGAGACCAGAGGAGGGCTACCAAGGTGATTAGAGGGATAGAGCCCCTCTCCTGTGAGGAAAGGCTGAGAGAATTGGTATTGTTGATACTGGAGAAGAGAAGGCTCTTGGGTAACCTAATTGCTACCTTCCAGTACCTAAGGGAGCTGTCCCAGTTTAAATGGGACAAGGGTCTTTTGCTGAAGATGGATTAGGAGGAAAAGACCCAAACTTCTTTTTCTAAGCAATTATAAATCCAAAATTAAGAGGCTCTGATTGAAGGAAAACAAATTATGGAAAAGGGAAAACAAAAAAATAACAGCCCTTTATTAAAAGGTATGTGTGTATTAATAGGAACATGAAAAAAAAAAACCCAAGTAAAACAACCAAGCAATACTCACCAATAATCCCCTACAAGAACAAAACCGATAAACCGGCAAAAGGAAAATTTAAATAGTTCAATTTTTAGCACCCTTTGGTGCAGTTCCAGCCACAGTCAGCAGGGGGCGCCGTCGGGTCACTGGAGATGCAAAATTTGTAATGTCCTATACCATTTACCAGGTGGCGCCGTTGAGTTACCGAAGGTGCAGAACTTGTAGTGTTTTATAGTAGTCACCAGGTGGCGCTGTTGGATCACTGGAGGAGTATACCTTGTAATGTCCAGTACCTGTCACCAGGCGGCGCTGTGAGATCCTTGGTTGCTGCCAGGTGGTGGCGGGGAAGAAGGGGAAGGAAAAAACAACAGCAATAAAAGAGAAAGTTCTCCCAATGGAAGAAAACTCACAAACTTCAGCTGATTAGGGTGCGTTGTAAGCAGGGCCTGCAGCCAGCAACAGCTGAGCCGAGAGCAGCAGCAAAAAACTCCCCTCCGACAGGAAAAAAGACAAAGAAAACCCCCAGCAGTGTCTGCAGCCCGCAGCCGCTCTCCTCCGGGCCAAGAGACTGAGCTGACACCCCGCCCCACCTCCTTCCAGCCACACACCAGCCCCCCCCCCCCCCCCCCCCCCCCCCCCCCCCCCCCCCCCCCCCCCCCCCCCCCCCCCCCCCCCCCCCCCCCCCCCACTTTGTTGTCAAGGAGACTGATCTCTTGGCCATTACTGAGCCCGGCCGATTCTTTTGTTTCACCTGATGGCCCATCCACAGAGCACACACGCAGAGGTGAAGGGAAAGAAAAATTCCTTGCTGAAATCAGAACTATGACAGAGCCCACAAGAAAGCTGGAGAGAGACTATTCACAAGAGCATGTAGTGACAGGACAAAGGGGAATGGCTTCAAACTGAGAGTAGGTTTAGGTTAGATATTAGGAAGAAATTCTTTACTGTGAGGGTGGTGAGGCACTGGCACAGGTTGCCCAGAGGAGTCCTGGATGTCCCATGCCCAGAAGTGTTCAAGGCCAGACCGGATGGAACTCTGAGCAACCTGGTCTAGTGGAAGGTGTCCCTGCCCACAGCAAAGGGGTTGGAACTAGATGATTTTCAAGGTCCATTCCAACCAAAATGATTCTTTCCACTTGCAGAATCTGCAAATTCCCAGTCATCCTGGTTCAGATGTGTGACTGGCCTACCATGAAACTAGCAGAGACAGGTTGGCTCAAGGTCAAACAGCAAACCAAAATTGAACTGAAAAGAGGACCCGTGATCTAGACTTCAAGATCATCTTCTCTCTCCATCTTGTACTCTTGTCTTCTGAAGAGAAGTAACAGCCTTAAGCCTATTATGGAATTTATAACTGCCCTAAGTGTTTTGTACTGTAGGAGAAAAGGGATGCTTTGCTACAGTACTATACACTCTTTTTATCTGCTGTGTGTGCACCTACCCTGTTCCCTGCTAAGAAAAGAGCTAATTCTCAGTTATGGAGGAGAATTTGTTAACAGTGGTCTTCTTTTCTCTAGAATTTCACAATCACCTTATCATGCTTCTAAAGCCCTCAAATTCACCAATTGCTTCTCATATGAGAAAGCAGGATGAACCTGCCACAACCAAAGTATTCCCTGCAGAGGAACACATTCTGCATTTGCCATTGTGTTTTCAGGAGAGCTGTGGTACTGCTGTGCCCGTGGTGGTGGGTGAGCTCTGTAGCACAGGAGGTGCTGATACAGTGCAGGCCAAAGCAGGGGTGCTGCTTGGTTCATGGGAGAAGTGTTTGCAGGAGGGATGCCACACTGAAAGGAGCTCTGCTGTATGGCAGGAATATGATGCTGCAGGCTCCCAGGAAATCAGATGCCACCCAGCAATGTGTTTGACAAAGCTGGCATATCTGTACAACTGGGACATCCTGCTTTCTTCTGTAGGAGTGGTGATGTAATATTTCTGCAGCCTCCCAAATGTTCAGTTCTTTCCCAGCACCTGCATCTGGACTTACTTGTCTTTTCTTTTTAATTTTTTTTTTTTTGAAGGAATCTTTTGGAGCTTGAGGAACCAGCTGCAAATCATAACAGCGGGCAGCTGCTCTTTGGTGTGGATGGCTATATGTATCTATTCACAGGGGATGGAGGGAAAGCTGGAGACCCTTTTGGAAAATTTGGGAATGCCCAGAACAAGTAAGTAGGAAGGGAGGTGAAAGCTTTGAGCTTGTTCACTAAGATACAAGGTTTGGAAGTGAGACAGTGTGGAAGAATAAAGTAAGAGTGCTTCCTGAAAGTGCTTGTGCACCTGCAAGTCTGTCCAAGGCAGTATTTAAAAAAATAAAAATTTTGCATTTTGAAAGCCAAGTTGTTTAGAGAAGAGTGAGTCTTCTGATTTGAGAAGGTTGCAAGACATACCAGACATTGGCTAATTTATTTTGGACAGATAACTTTCCTTTGTAAAGGAGGAAGAGGAAGAGAATTTTTGTGTTGGCTCTCATGCTGGGGTTTCTTTTTCTGTCGTTCTCCTTAGGAGTACTTTGTTGGGGAAAGTTTTGAGGATTGATGTGGATGGAAAAAGTCCTGATGGAAAGCCTGACCGCATCCCTCCTGATAACCCGTTTGTGTCTGATCCCAAGGCCCACCCCGAGGTTTATGCTTATGGAGTCAGGAACATGTGGCGCTGAGCAGTTGACAGAGGAGACCCTGTCACAAAAAAGGGAAGAGGGAGGATATTCTGTGGGGATGTCGGGCAGAACTGGTTTGAAGAAATCGACCTCATTGTTAAAGGAGGGAACTACAGCTGGAGAGCAAAGGAGGGATTTGAATGCTATGACACAAAGCTTTGCCACAATTCCTCTTTGGGTAAGGAAGAATTTTTCTTGTAGGAGATTACTTTATTATATGTGTATATTTAGTGGGCTCTAGCACTGTTTTTCCAGTGAAGCTGAGTAATCCCCTGTTGTGTGTTAAATGGAGATTGTTTACCTAAGAGCAGAAATCCCTTCACCCCAGCCCTGCAGTGTTGGTATGAAATTATGCTCTGCTTATTCAAGGAATTCCCTGCCGCACAGTGCACCTGACAAGTGCATTTTGTAGACTGCATTTTCCCAATCAAGTCAGGAAAGTAATGGATTTGGTTTAAGCAGGAAAGGGTTTTCTTCAGAGGCTCTGAGCCACGACTGTGGCTAAGGAGAGTGGACCAGGCTGAGGCTGAGACCCTAAAACAACTCCTGTGGCAGAGGCAGTGTGTCCTAGTAAGCAGAGTGCTGCAGTAGAATGCCCAAAAGCTGTTCTCTGGGTCTAACTGTGGGTGTGATGGACAAATTCAATTCCTGCCTTAAAAAAAGAGTAGAAATTGGTGGTCTTTGTAAAGGTCTTTGCAAAGTATGGTAGAAGAAATGGATATTATTATAATGTTCCTTAAGCTGAGATCTGAAGACACTTGGTCTCAAGCTCATGTAGGTGTTTCTGAAACATTTTTATGAGCAGAGTGTGCACTGCTTCACAAGTGCAGTGCAAGTGCATTGTGCGTTTCTCCTCTGCTGTGCCAGTACTCACATAGCTCTCAAGTTTTTTGTTTGGTTGCTTTCTGAAAAGGCCCAATCCTCCACTGAAAAAAAAAAACCTGAATTGGAGTTTGGTGGTTAATGTCTGGTTTTTAATGAATTGCATTTGTGATCTTTATCCTCATTGTTAAAGACAAGCTACTTGATCCCAGGGAAAAAAGTGAGGACAGGACTAAAATTTTGTGGGATCTGATAATTCAACATGAGAAACGGCTGAATTAAATTTCAGCATTGCCAGAGACAGTGTCTTTATTTTATTAAAGTCTCATGACATAGAACAGAGGTAGCACACTTATTCATGTTCTGTGCTAAGAATGTCAGTGAACCTACGAAGATGTTAAATTGCAAGTGCTTGATCTTATTCCCTTCTCTAAAAATACGAACATTGCTAAAGATGATCCCTGCTGAACTGATTGGTGCAGTCACAAACCTGTAAGATAACACTTCCTGCAGGCATAACCTTTCTGCATTGCTTGCTTGATGCAAAGAATCTTGGTTCTATGTGTTATGGAAGCTCATCACAACTAAGACTTGATAAGCAAGTACACAAAGAGCTCCTTAAAGCCCCTGGGCCTGTTCTGTCCCAGAGTAAATTACTGAGTTCCTACTGAAATTTCACTGTGCGCTTTTTTGAACTGTATTGGTCCTTCTTTCAATTGTACCTGTCCGAGTCATTGAGCAATTGCTTTTTGATGCTCTCTGGAAGTAAATTTTCTGACTTTTTATTTCTCTGAGTTTAACAGATGACATTCTCCCAATATTTGCGTATGGCCGCAGTGTGGGGAAGTCAGTCACTGGAGGTTATGTCTACAGAGGATCTGAATCGCCCAACTTGAATGGCCTTTACATTTTTGGTGATTTCATGAACGGGTGAGACTAATTGTTTTTTCTGCATCTCCCATTCTGTACCTCATCTGGGCAAATAAGCATATCGGAGCATCCCAAAACTGGAGTAATGAGAGCTGGAGTAATGAGAATGTCGGATGTCTATGTATTAGATTAAGGGCTCTGTTTGACTATAACAACAGCTTTTTTTGTTGGAATCTAAACCTACTCCAATTTAGAATCCTTAGAATAAGTTTGCTTTTGTTCAGGTCTGTTTTTCAAAAAATCAGCCAACAGTCAGGGTCCTCACTGAGTAATGCACGATTTTGACAGGAACTAATTTTGATAATGGAAACATAAAACACAGGGTTTTATTTTTCATCTAGTCGACTTATGGCTTTACAGGAAGATGAGAAGACAAATAAGTGGAAGAAGCAGGATATCTGCATTGGCAGCACAACAGCTTGTGCTTTCCCTGGAACGATCAGGTCTTATAGCAAGTTCATCATCTCATTTGCTGAGGATGAAGCAGGTGGGTATCGTGTTGGCCATACCTTCACTGGAAACTGTACTGTCATTCTCTGTTGTAGAGAGAAGGTGTAAAATTATGTGGCTCCTCACATGTTACTCCAGAGTAGGCATTGCAAACAGGTTTGTGGCTGTCTCAGCACGGCAGGAAGGGTTGGTCTGTGGTTCTGAGGGATCTCCTGCTGTTGGGTAACTCTGCTACATATAAAAGAATGCAGGAGTTTGTAATATTGTTAAATTGACCACGTGTCCAAGATGGTGATTGTGACTTTGTGTAACTCTTCTTGTTCCCAAAACCCCTCACTGTACCTTGGAATGCCTAAGAGATAACTGGAAACTCACCTATTGGCTGTTAACCCTTTCTTGTAATTGGTTGGTTTGTTGTGGGGAGTGAACGGATGAGATCTTACAAAGAATGCAGAGAGATGCTGGAAGAACCTCAGTGGGCCTCCCAGGAAGACATCCATCTTTGAGAGCTCTGACAGACGGGACCAGGAAAGAGGCCACAGTCCTGTGATAAGAAGACAGGCATCCCAGGACCCCCCTCTCCTACACTCCCTTTTCCTCTCCTGGGCCCCC